TAAAATGCTATTAATCATTTTAGTAGGTTTAGTTTGTAGAAAATCACATCTTTTGTTTATAGCTTGGTTAATATGTTCCCTTATTTGGTAATTATTTTCTAAATTGCAAGCATTATAAAGAGATTTCTAGTAGTCCTTAGCATGTATAATCCAATTTGGGATTAGCTCAAGGTCTGTTGGTAGTAAAGGTATATTGAAAGGGTGTCAGGAGTTAATTTTATGAATTATTGTAGAGAGATTTGAGTATAAAGTGCTTGGATTATTCAAGTATTTTTTAGTATTTTTAATAGCTTTTCCTAGAATTTTGAGGTCCAGATGTAATTCTGTTGCTTTAAAAGAAAAGGTATGATAGAAGTTTTTAGTTGTAAACTTTTTGTTAGGGATTTTAGAGAGAGCTACTTGAATAATACTGGTTTGAATTTTATACCAAGTAGTTTCTAAGGATTCTGTTGTTTGTATAGAAGATAGAGTATTGTTGATTAGTAAGTTAGAGTTAGTTTGATCAGCAAATTCCTGCCAGAGTTTTGTAGTCATTATTTTATAATTGAAGATTCTTTGTTTAGTGTTAGTTTTGTTCCTAAGTTTGTCAAAAAGAGCAAAGAGAAATGACTATTTAGAAATTAAGATTTTGTGATCACTATTAGTTATAGCAAAAGAGTCTTTATAGTAAAAGTTTGTTAAGTATTGTATAGTTGGATGATATACCCAAATATAGTTAATTCTGCTATTGTATCTGCTACTTTGCTAGATATTTTGTCAATTAGCTGTATAGTCTGCTAAATTATACATATTGATACTATGTAGATATGAAAGTAAATGAGTTTTGGATGAGATATTAGATGTGAAAGTTGTAGTAGTATTAAAATCTCCTAGAACAATAAGGAGAAGGTTTAGGCTAAGAGCTTGTTGTGTCTATTGTATTGCTTTTTCCTAAGCAGAATCTCTGTAGGATTTGTTAGAAGTCAACAAATATACAGATATAATTCTAAATTTAAAGTCATGTTTAAAGAGCAAATCAATAGCAATAGCTTCTTCAGAATATGTAATAATATTATGAATATAGGGTTTAAGATCATTGTTAATTATGAGTGCAGTTCCTTCAGCAGAGTTTCCAAGACTCGCTCAGAAGTGGTGGTGTTCACAGTGTTTAAGTGAACCAATAGTTATTTTTAGCTACAGTATTTGTAGTGTTAAAGGTAGTATTCACAGTGCTCTTCACATAATGTTAAGGTGACGCATATTACTAATTATTAATTAATAATGCCTAGAAAATTCTAAAAGGTTTTAGAACATTCTGTAAGATTCTAGAAGTTGTCACGTGATTCCAAGATATTCCGAGATTTTCTATAATATTCTAGACTATTCTATAATTTTCTGTGTAATATAACTAAAAACTATGACTAATCATTATACAAAACTATTACTAATAAAACTATACTAAAATACTATACAAATAATAATAAAACTTATTCATACTATCATCAATGCTTTGTATAGGTAACAAATACAAAAACTAAACAAAATAAACAAAAACTATAACAAATATACTATAAAAATACTAAATTAAATAATAAAACTAAAAATAAAATAAAAAAAATAAAAAAATAGAAAATTATAAGTATGATATTATCCTCTCCTTAGAGATGAGCTTCTGCAAATTAAAATTCCTCTGGGATTGAAAGATCTCCAAATTCTGATATAGAAATCTTATATACTTTTTGTATAAGTAATTTAAAGTCAAACTCATATATTTGAGCAAATACTCTATAGCTAATATGTTTTGCTTAAAAAATGTTCCAAATTCTTCGAGTATTATACAATTCAAAGGTTCATTAAGCAACTTTGAATACTTTCTTTTCTTTTTGAATACCTAATTCCTAATAAAGAAAATTTGTTGAATAATTACTTTAATTGTCTATACAAAAGAGTTCACCTAGGCAGTAATAGTATTCTAACTATTTAAAGATTTGCCTATTGTTGTTCTCAAAGAGTTTAATTTTACAACTTATAGATTTAATCTTTTCCTCTTTATTATTACTATTAACTACTACTATTCTTAAGTTCTATATTAGAATTGTTTAAATTCTCAAAATATAGAGCAAGTTTTTGCTTAATTCTTTAAGTATCAGTTAAAGGATTAGTTTCTTTGATATTAAAAATTTTTCTTTAGTAAGTCACTTGACTAGAAGTAATAATTAAGATGATATTTGGATCAATATCTTGAAATTTCTTTTGGAGTTGTTGAATTATGAGTTGAGTAATAGAAAAGATTTCATTTTGTTGTTTTTTTTTTTTTTTTTTATTAAGGCGGCTTACCTTGCTGAAGGAATTTTATTAGAATTGTATACAAGATATACATTGATAATCTCTACTGTTTGTAATTACATGAAGAGTGTATAACAAGTCACACATATGACTTTAGTTATTATCTAATTTAAGTAGTTTACTGCATAGGTGATTAGACTACTTGATTAGTTCTACACTATGCTGCCATACCTGTAACCTGCCTATGAGTTATTTATTTAAATACTCTGTTCATTAATCTATACAGATCTAACCTAATATCACTGCAACATATAACTGCTTAAGCTAGCTAACTTGTTACAGATCTATTTATTTAGAATAGCTTAGGTCTTCTCAGGATACATTGTACCTAATGCATTGTAGATATCACAGAGCCAGTTAACCTTGAAGTATACCTACTAGAGTGGTCTGTACCTATTTTACAGATTCACCTAGCTTAGACCCTTGTAGATGTTTGTACAACTCTAGTTCCTACTGTAGCTCTCCACCAGTTTTCTGTATTCTATCTTCTCGGATATTTCATGAGGCAGATCCTCTTAATCCAGTTAGCTACCAAACCAGGTTGGTATTACTGATCCTCCCTGTGGACTAAATTTATGCATACCTGATTTGATCTGCATCTTTTGTCAATAGTTTCCTTTTTGGATCAAGAGTTAGCCAGTATAACTATTAAAGGCTGTACTACTTTACTAACTCAGGATTTCTACCATGCAGATAGCAGTAGAATAGTGGGCTTTTTAAATACATGATTATGTTTTTTTTAATAACACTATTCATTCTTATTTTTTTTCAAGTTTTTATCATATTCTTGATAACTTATATAACTTATATATAACATATAAAAAACTTACATAAATAGTGTATTTTTATATATACTTCATACTTGGTATACTTTTTTAATATCTATTTTAATTACTATTTAGCTTTCTATTACTAAGGAGTACACTTTCCTAAGGGTATACAGTGCAGTTGTAGAGTGAAGCAGAGCATAGTTATCATATTTGATTTCTATTTAGTTTTTTGTACTAGAGAAGTATAGCGACTCTGAATACAAAGCATAGCATAGCATTAGTTATTTGTTTAATTCACAATTAGTTTCTTAATACTAAGGAGTATATATCTTAGGTGTAAGCAACACAGTTGCAGAATAAAGTGAAGCATAGTAATCTTTTAGTTATCAATTAGGTTTTTTTGGTAAAAAAGATAGTTAAATTTTTTTGTTTTGCAGGCCTGAAAGATGACTCGAAAAGTCATAAGTGGTCTTCAAACATCTGAAGTTGTTGAGCATAAAATTGCATGACATAATATCCTTTAGAATATTTTTTGCAACATCCACAAGCAGAAGCTGTAGGTTTTCTACAATCATCACATAAAACATGTTTTTTTAGATCTCCAATATTCATAGTACCCTTCAGAATATCGATACCTATATCTGCAGACTTTTCAAATTGTGTATATATTTGCATATATATTTACTTCCTGACTTTTCGATATATTTACCTTTCTCGATATATTCACTAAACATTTCAATAAAAGAATAATTATTTTTTATTTAAACAAAAGATCAGGTATATTAAAAAAAATACTGAAAAAACATATTACTATAGCTAAGATACTTAAATGTCCAGGTTGTGATCAAGTAATAAAAACTGATAAAACTCGAGATTTTAATAAACACATGAATTTAAATAGAAACCTTTGTAAAAGATAATGCCAACTAGCTTTGCTTATAATACAAAATGTTGGAAATATTATTTTAGAGCAAAATACACCTCAAACTGAAAACATTACTCTAGAGCAAAATCTGCTATCAACTCCTGAAAGTGATCTCATATTGTTTGATAAAACCCACTAATATTTTAGCTGAGAGAGACAAGTGCACCAGTAGTTGACCTCTAGATAAGAGAATCAGAAATGAGTTAAAGACTCAAAGCTTAACATCCTCGATACTCTGTATCATCTAGTTCAAAGCAAAATAGCATAAGTTACCAAGATAAAACTATCTTAATTCATAAAAATATAGCAAATAGATTTGAGTTTTATGATGAGAAAAGAAAATGGTATGGAGTTAAAGAAGATTTTTGTGCATTATATAACAAATATCATTTTATTAAAGCAAATAATGGAGAAACAATTATGGAAGCATACAAAAGAATTAATAATGAGTCTGAAGCTATTGCTAAAAAAACTAATGGTAAAATTGATATGCGTAAATCTGGAAATTATATATTAACAACTATAAAATTTTTCAAAGAAACTACTTAAGTACCTCAAAAAAGTAAAAAATAAGTGAACAAGAAAGTGTATAGATAGATTTAGCAACAACTGGTGCTCTAATATTTGCAGAAAAATATGAAAGAGAAGCTAATCAATATGATATAAATTCAATATATATATTTAAAATGATAAAAAAAGATGCATCATGGCTAATTGCACCAGGTAAGTTTTATACTATAAACTCATCTTTTACAGAAAAATAGAGTAAATTTCATATAGAATTTATAAAGCAACAATAGAAAAAAATCCTCTAAAGAAAAGTCTTCAATGAGGTCTGACAATCTTAGTGTAGTGATTAGATTGCCAGACCGCCATGCAAGAGGTCTGGGATTCAAATCTCACTGTCAATGAATTTGAATAATTACCTGGACCTTTGTACCTAACTTACAGTAAACCTTGTCCATTTCTAGGGTTGTAACCCTGTAAATCATATTGCACCAATATTATCTGGATATTAGAAGTGTGACAGGGTATTTGGTAAAAGTAAAGTTATACAAATAAATCTTGATAGGATCTACAGGCAGAGGACCTGCATGGTAGAAATCCTGAGTTGATGAAGTAGTACGGCCTTCAACAGTCATACTAGCTAATACTTGATCCAGAAAGGAAACTATCAACAAAAGATGCAGATCGAGTTAGGTACATATAAATCTGTTTAACAGAGATGATCAATAATACTAACCTGGCTTGGCAGCTAACTGGATTAAAAGGATCTGCTTCGTAAAACATCCAAGAAGATAGAATACAAAAAACTGGTGGAGAGCCACAGTAGGAACTGAAGTTGTTAAACACCTACAAGGGTTTAAGCTAGGTGAATCCATAAAATAAGTATAGACCATTCTAGTAGATATGCTTCGAGGTTAACTAGCTCTGCGATATCTACAATATGTTAGGTACAATGTATCCCGAGAGGATCTAAGCTGTTCTGAATAAATAGATCCGTAATGAGCTAGCTAGCTTAAGCAGTTAGATGTTGTGATGACGTTAGGTTGGATCTGTATAGGTTAATGATCAGAGTGTTTAAATAGATAACTCATAGGCAGGTTACAGGTATGGCAGCATAGTGTAGAATCAATCAGATAGTCTAATCGCCTGTGCAGCGGACTACTTAAATAGACAATGACTAAAGTTGTATATGTAGCTTGTTGTACACTCTTCATGTAATTACAAACAGTAGGACTATCAATAGATATCCTGTATGCAATTCTAATAAAATTCCTTCAGCAATGTAAGCTGCCTTAATAACAAAAAAAAA